TACCTGCGTCCCAGCTAGAGACTGATTAGCACGCAGGAGCTCAAAGAGAGCTAATTGGTACCCATGCACGGGTTTCAACATGCCCGATCGGTAATTAACGTGTTCGAACGGTTTTTAACGTGTTTGCTGTTTTCCTTCAAAATCTGTGTTTTGAGGCCTGAAAATGGTGCATTCTGAGACTACTCTAGAATACCCAGAGAATCCAGAAGATCAAGAGAACACCTGGAAGTAGATCCCTGGTTCCAGCCTCCCTGTTCCCCCACACTGCCTCATTCCAACCCTGGCGCAACCTCATTTTCATCATCGCGCCCAAACAATGTTGATTTGGGCTAAGTACCGAGCCAATGCTCTTTTCCCAATTAGTTTGGGAGAGACTTTCCGTGTCAGCTTTGCAACTCTTCCTATCAGGTCTTCGTCAACGCTGCATGTTTCAGAGATAGGGTTCCACACCCATCTACTGATTTCACACTGACGTACCATCTCAAACTGTACTTCGTGCATCGCATGAATCTTGGGGATCAAAGCAAACTTTTGGTCGTGTAAGTCGTAGGACTTCCTCGCCAAGGACACATAGGTCTTGATGAACTGGATCAGTGACTCTGCCAGCTCTCGTGCAATTTTGTTCTCAAGCCATAGGTCAGAGGCATACAGCGACCTGAAGAAAAAATTGATCTTCTTGTTGCCATATTCCTCAAGTGGGATGGTGCGTGGGTACCAATTGGATCCAATTAGCTTGCTTTGAACTCCTGCATGCTAATTACCTCTAGCTGGGAAGCAGGTATGTTGTACACAGAGGACCCCAAAACAAGAACGTATATAAGCAAAACGTATGTTGCAAACTAATCGTGTCAAAATTCCCAGAGGCGCAACCTTTCGTCATCCCCAATCAATTCCGGGTGGTGCGAGAGGTAATCCTCCAGAAACAAACATAGGTTGCTGGTCAACGCTGCTTTGCTCCAAGTTCCTTGTGGCTCTTCCAAAGTGGACCCAAAGAGATGCTGATCCAACTTCGAAACAATACATGTCATCTTTTCGCGACGGCAAAACTGTTTGTAGGCTGCACTGATGGTTGAAAATCTCTCGCCAACCTCACGCCCAGGAATCTTGCTTTGAAGAATCATCATCGCTGAACCAATCCAGTGCTTTCCAGCACCCAAATGAAAACTGTGCCATAAATCGTACTTGTGAAACCGAGACTTGCCGTTAATTGCACCGTCATGAAGCAGCTTTCGGGTCAAGACACTTTCTCGGAACCAAGGTTCCTCAATCCCCATTGTTCTTGCGTCCCTCATGGCTCGTTCGGCTTGAGTCCTTAGACTTCTATATATAGGCAAAACTTTACAGAACAAAGCCACCCGGAAAATGTGAAAACCAGTTTCAATTAATATAAGTTGTGTGCATGCGCGAACAAACGCATACGTTAGGCGTTGGGTAACACTCTTCGAACCATTTCCAGAAGGGGACAGTATACAGGTCAGGCAGGGGGGAAAAAATAAAGGAATTCAATTCTTTCAAAGCCACAGGTTTTCCCAATCCAGGCTTTGTCCACACAGACAAAGGTGACACACCCCAGCACCCTCAACATTCCGGTCATTGCCGCGATCACAATCTTTGGCTGATTTGGGTGCCCTTCTGTAGGAACGTTCAAGGTTGGCGGAAGATACCTCAGTTTTGTTGCTAGATCGAGTGGGTGGATTGTCAGGTGAATAGGATGAAAACACTGAAAGAAAAAACTGCAACGTATAGCGATATGAAAATAAACAAGTTCAAGCCAAGTTACAAGGTAGCTCCAATCCCCCTTGTTCCCTATGACTATCGGGTACACCAAGCCCTGGCCATCCAGTTCAATCCCATTGGTTTCCATGAGTTGAAAATCTGTTGCCACCTTGTCAAAGATTGCGTTCCACACACGTGGGTCTTCTTTGTACATCTCCTTCAGGGACGTTTCATCAACAAATTCCTGGGAAAAAGTTGATATACTCGAAGCACTACAGTTATATACGATATAGCAGACCTACCGAGTCTGAAGTCAAACCCTTGTTTCCCACAACCTGTCCTTGGGGCAAATCACCATGACCATACGTGTCAGCATACCACACTTCACAAAATTGAGTGGAAGCCCTGATTCCCCAACCTTTTCCAAATTCAATGACATCTCCATGGGTCGCTTGGAAGTGCCAAACCCCAATGGGGACTGCATAGACATAATGAGGACACCACCTTTCTTGAAGGTGATTCCTTCATCGCCGTGCAAATAAAGTGGTATACATTGCCGGTAGCAACAAATGCCAGCATCGACACGCTCGAAAAGTTGAAACTGTGGGTATACCACCCTGTAGCGTTCCCAAAAAGTTTCCAATAGAGGGGCTGCCTTGGCAATGGTTGAGAAGCCACCCATGATGTTGCCCAAATCGTTGTTCTTGGCCATAGTCTGTAGGAAATCACTTGGTTTCAGCCACCAAAAGTCTTTCAAAGGTTGTTGATCTTCCACAGTCATAGGAACATCATAAAAAAAGTCGTTCGCCTTAAAGACCCGTTGCACTTCTGCCTCCTAAGCGGCTTGTAGGCGGCACCAAAACATCCACGTGCGCAGCACTTGCAACTACTCTCTAGCAGGGACCCAGGCTAAATGTTTTAAGATCATAGAACGGTTTCAACAGTTTTGACCCCTGAAAATAGATAATGTTTTTCAGGCAAAGCCTGGTATCGGAGTTCTTGCTGTTCGCCTTTCCAAGCGCAGTCAACACTGGGCAGCAAGAGAGGGATATACCATCCTCCATATCATCCCTGCAGGCAGCTTCAGCAAACTTGATGATCTCAGTCGAAGGCTCCTAGGCCATGTGGCGAGTGCCAACACTATGACCAAACAAATAGCAGCATTGCCTCGCCACACCACCAGAATCCTATTTCATGAAGTCTACTGCAGATTGCACACAGGTCATGGGCCTACAGTTACATGCAATGGCTGCAATGAAGTCACACCCCAAACCATGTAGCATGCAAATCTCCAGTCATCCAGGCTTTTCATCTAAAGAATATATTATAATAGTAATATAAGCGCTCTCTCTCTCTCTCTCTTATATATATGATTATATATATGATTCTATCTACGCGTTGAAGGACCACAGATTTCAATTAGGAACCTCACCACTCCATTGCGCTCAGAGTCCCCGCAACCATAGCGCCATGCGAGCTGACGCGCTTTATGCGAGGGACCTGGCATGTCACAGAGTCATGGCAAGTGCAGGTTGTGAAGGGGCATCGAAAAGCTGGGGATGCAGATTGGAAACGCCACGCAGCCGTTCTTTGCCCACGAAGTTGCGATGCAACATGTCTCGATCGATCCAATTGGTCCAATTATCAATTGTCCCTCTACACCGGTGCAATGAGAACTACACTCGCTGCAGAATGAAAGACAGCTGTACATCCCCTTGTGAGGCACGTGGTTTTCCACGTGTTCAGAAAACCCAAAGCCAAGACCCACCAGGTAAGACATGAGAGTGACAACCAATTTAACAACTTGCAGCAAATCATGATTTGGTGGAGGATAGGGATGAACACCTTGCAAGTATACTACCATATAATGAACGTAAGATTTAGCATTTAGTAGACACGCTAAGTGGGTGCTCAGTCTATGTGGGCACTCAGGCACCTTTGTTCTTGCCACGTACCCTTTTGGCAGGCACGGTGCCCGCAGATTCAGGATCCTCTACCTTACCCTTACCCTTTGCAGTCCTTTTGCCAGACTTGTTCTTGGCAGACTTTTTTGTCCTTCTTCGACTTTGTCGAAGCCCGTGTTCCCTTTCTCGTATCCTTCTCCGACCCAGCTCCCTTTCCATTCTTTTTCTGGTTGGTCTTGTTGGACTTGATCAATTGCCTAATGTTGCAGAATCAATCCAAACACCTGTGGAATTGAACAAGGATTGGGAAGCAATCATAGATCCCAAGTTTTAGACACACATCTTGGGCCACTGGCCGCTGCTGAGTTTCCAGGGTCAGGGATGTAGCACACCTAAAATGACGCGTTCCATCACATGAAAAGCATCTTCACCGCCGAGGGTTGGGGATTCGGTGCTTTGTGAGATGGATGGCCAAGGATCAAATCCCTGATCTTGTTCTTTTCCTCCACGATCAACTGCTTCAGCCTCAGCGTTGCAAAAGGAACCATGCACCTGCCACTATACATATATATATATGTACAAAGTATCATACAAAGGTCAGCATTTTTAGATCTATCATCAGAATGATTGCACATGTTTCCATTGATCAAATTTGATCCAAACATGCACACTTTTCAATCACATGCAGCCTTGTGCAACTTCAACCTGTTTACGTGCAGATATTATGTGCCACAGCTATACAGTAGAGCGCACCAACAATGGAGCGTTGCTAGGTCTTTGGAAGCTTCTGTACACCATGTAGACCAGAAAAGGACCATCGTCGGATTCCCGAATAGTGTCTCCGCCGTCTTTGATGTTGCGGCAGCCCTGCTGTCCTTATATATATATATATGCAGGGTGTCATGTTAGTGGCCAAGGTTTGCCACATGGATTCAAAAAATATCAGTGTAAACTGTAAAAGAAACACATCACAAAGAGTTGATAAAGGTTGGGCCCCAGACACCCTTAAATTCCTGAATGAGGGAAGCCTCAACAAATGCTGGAGATATGGTTTCACCAGCTGCGTAAAGCACCAGCATACAATCCCAACGGTCTCGATCCAAGATGTACCCAAAGGTATTGTTGTAGAAACGTGCGTGCGCATCAAAACAATACCCAAACTTGAAGATCAAAGGTGTGTTCTTCTTGATGATTCGATTGGCTGCTTCGCTACAATGTTTCAGCACCCGTCCAGCCAGTGCATTCTTGGGAGGAAGGTCATAGTCCAATCTCTTATCTAACTCTATTTTTGAAAAGCAGTCCAAAGTCCTCGGCATAGAGAGCACCTTTGAATCCAAGGCATCTCGCCACTGAATCTTGCGGGAAGAGGTTCGGCTCCAAGAGCTACAGGGCGGGCCTGCGAGTTGGAAGAGGCATGCGGGAGGCATCTCAAGCATGCACACTTGCGACTCCTAGTCCAAATCTATTCATGTCTGCCATGGTTGTTGTTTTCTGGCTCCCCCAGCCTGCCAGAACCAGTGCCGTTGAAAGAGATGATTTTGCCTGGCCAGACTTCTGCAAAATACAACTCTAGCATTATAGGTCTCATTTTCCTTGTTGTGCAAATCTTCGAAGCACAAGAAATGCATGGACTTGTTGATGTGACACAGATGGATTATATGCAAACACATGGACATCCACCAGCAAACAATGGATAGCCTCCCGGTTGTAATCGATCAGTTCTTGTAGCCACACTGTGCCGTCATCACCATCACCACCCAGCATGGCTCAACGGCTGATTGCAAGCAGTGTGCACGAGTGTGTTGCTTATTATGTTTCTCTGATATTTGTTGCATTTCAGATATATACATATATACGCCCATGTGTGGGTGCAGGGAAAAAGATCAATTTAGTTATGGCATTTGTTGGGTACACAGTCTTTTGGATCCATGGCAAATCCCTGAGACTATACTGCTGGTCACCACGAAACCCTTGGCTGCATAGTTTCCAGGTCCAAATATATAGTTTCGGTCACGCTTTGGAGACGTTCGCCATTCTAAAAAAACAGTTGGTTGCCAAGAAACTCGGTGAGACGATCACACTGCTTGGTACCATCATTCAGGTCCATCTTCATCTCAGTAAGGTGTTTGGCAAGCACCTTATAGGACCTATCCAATCCAGTCTTGGTCTCCTCAAGCTTGGTATTGAGCCTCAACATCAGGAACACTGTGCATGGCAGTCATGCGCATGGGATCAATCCTTTTCTTGGCAACTTGGAGAATCAACATGATACAGCTAAGTTTTAAACTCATTCACCTTTGTCACCGATGATTCTGGAAACTTTGTGTTTTCCAGAGCTGCAACCATGGTGTCAATCTTGTCCGTTTTGGCGGTGATGGAATCCATGTACTTCTCCAGCTCCGGCACAGGCTGCCAGGGAAGCACCAACATGTTGGTTATTTATGCAGAGGCCAGATGCAAATGGAGACGTGTGCCCAACTAAACAGTATACAAACGACGAACAAACGACACATCAAAGAGTTGATGAATGAGTGATCAACTGCACCTTGGCACCAAGAACTTCAGGGGAAGGCTTTTGCTCGGGAATCTTGACCAAGCCATCGGCAAGTCGCTGACCAGCAATCTCATCTGGCTTGACCCTCTCAGCCTAAGATGTTTCCAAGTGCCAGGAAAAAGGGGACAGGGTATGGATTGATGACCATGCATGTAAACACACGCCCAGATATGCACAGGCATCACATGTGCCTTTTTTTCAATTTCAACTGATCGATCTTGACATTGTGTTCAACCAAGTTTCATCCAACTCAGTGCTCTCCACAGTCTTGTCAATTTCCGCCAATCGTCGAGTGGTCTTCTCATCTGTCTCGATGTAGTACTCAGTGATGCTTTCGTTGTACTTCCAGGGCCTGCTCGAGGGTCAGGATTGGATTTAGACATGAAACTGATCCTGAGTATGTAGTTGTTCACCCAAAAGTCCCACAAAGAAGTCTATCAATCAGGGTTCATGTCATGAACCTTGTGGCTTTGCATGCATGTTGAATAAAAGCATGCTAGCATTACAGCATATTACAGCTGAAAAAGGGCATGCAATCTTTGGGGATATTGTTTTACAAGTGCTCCCACCCCAACAGTCCCACCCCATGGAGTCCTGCAAAGGGTTTCAGGAAAGCGTTGACAATAGGCAATCATCGATTTGATCGTGGATGCCGACCATTCGCCACACTTGCGCATTCTCTCCTCGGTCATCCAACGACCGTGCACCTCTTGCTCCCTGCTAGCAAGCTTCTCCTTTAGCACTGTCACCTTGCGGACAAACTCTCCCTGAGATGAAGATGTGCGTAAAGACATTCGAGCAAAACCAATTGCGCATATGTAAGAGTGAACTATATATATATATTGATTCAAGGTCTCCCCACGTAAGCTGTTTTCGTGTATATAAGACAAGGGATGATACAGGTCATGTAGTTATAAAGAACCACCCCAAGAATGAAGGTCTTCTGAATATAGGAGTACTTGCCAAATCGTAGCCAAGATACCTTCACCTTCTTGTACTTGGTCCTATCACATCCATGAACGGCCAAGCATTGCAACAAGGCCATCTCAAGGATTTCTCTGGACTCTCCACCATTCACATAGTCTGCGTTGATGTTTTCTGGCACCCCACACTTGCCAGAGGCCTTTTTTTTCGCATAGACGCCGTGCTCGCATGCGCAAGGCATCGTGTGTTATGGGCACCTCAGTGAGAATTAGAGTCACTGTATGCTATGCAAGTACATGCCTCGGGAATTCCATTACGGTCTTTGTACTTTTCCTTTATTTGGTAATCGTAGTGCACATGCACAACTATGCAATCAAGAAACCACACGACCATCTTGCGTCATCATGTACTTGTCCGTGTCAGCTGACTCATCGTCACTGTCCGACTGATCGCTGACGTCAGATCCACTAGCGGCAGGTTTCCTTTTGGATGTCTTTTTCTCCAAATCCTGTTCATGTGTCCTTTTTTTTCATGGTCTCGTTCCCTTTCTCTTGCTCAGCATTCGATTTCTCTAGCGCTGAAATCTTCTCCAATGCTTCCTTCAGTTTCTGTTCTGTTTCCCCATTTGGGGTTGGGGTTTCTGCCTGCTGCCCACGAAGCTTAGACTCCAGGATGTCCATCTGGCCCAGCAACCTCTTCATATTTTGCTCATGAAGTTGCGATTGTTCTCGCAAAGCCTCACGATTGAACCCAACAAACATGCCATATAATGTGTATAATATAAATCATGCAGTCGTTTTCCCATTACAGTTGACAAAGGGCAGATTCCTCCACCATTGATTGGCACATTGTATATTGATGCTTCCAGGTTTGTGCGTATACATTCCAAAAAGATGACATGCGGTATATCGATGATGATTGCAATCGCCAAAGCACGGAAGAGATCATTTCCTGGATCACATCGGGCGGCATAGCGGCAACAGGTGTTGCTGGCGCTGAGGATCGTCCACGCAAGGCCGCCTCCAACTCCTGGGTTGCCTGGGTTGGCGAGCAAGCCGTCTAGCATAAGGACATATCCAGCTATGGTGGTTTTGTTCAAGTCTTCAATCCATCGAGTGATTTAGCTACACAGAACAATGCATGGTGCAAAAACCACCCATGTATTCATATGAATTCCAAATACCGAGAAACTGCTGGGACAGTATCCGCTGGTGATGTAACCACGGAAGCAGCATGAGGTTCAGGCATAGATCCCAATGGCTTAGTTGAGACCAAACAATTGCAATGTTCATGCAAAAGGCATGCATGTTTGACTGCGCCCTTGAATCTTGCCATGTAAAATCAAAGGAAGTTATATATATACTCTTTGATGTGCCAGCAAGAATCTGTGCCCAATGCCTTTCTTGGCGAAGGTGTTTCGTGCTTCACTGCGGCAGGAACCTCATCACAGGGAAGGAGTGGTGGATTGAGATGATGTATAAGTGGAATTTGGTCTTGAACGATGGTTGATGGGGCCATGTATTGAATCTAATGCAAGCTCGAAACAAAGACCTTATCCTTTCCATTTCCAGAGTTAGTCTTGGACTTCTTCTTGTTCAACTCGTCTTGTTGATGCTGGATCTTTTTGATGACCTCCTCCGCAGCCTGCATGACATCTCTAGACCCTAGACCTAGATGACTGGTTGAAATGATTTGCACATGCACACCTTTTGACATATATATATATACACAAATGCTGTGGATTGTTACATCTTATTGTTTTTCTACATGCACGGTGTTTACTCGATGATCAGACACAAAGAAGCGGGTTGAAGACATCCATATATATATATATATGCATCTCTAAAAATGAACATGTGTATTGATGACAGCCCAGATTAAGGTCGAGCACGCCGCACGCCTTCCTAGCATCTGCAAGCTGGTGCGGCTCCAAGTTGATTCCAGCAATTTGGGCGCAGGCTGCCACACCCTCTGCCAGAGTATTACAACTCCAAGCTTTGCTCATGAAAGAACCGGATTGACCCTCCATTGCTGGTCGAAAATCCCTCAACCAATCCCAGTACAGCTTGATACTCCAAAAAGTGCTTCTAGCAAGATGCGCAATTCTGTGGGGCGAGACCATGCATGCATTAGCCTGGCCCAATCAACTGCCAATGATTCAGTGTGATGGTGGACTCTAAAAGGGATGGGTGAAAGAATTTGAAGTCCATCAATCTTCCACTCATCACTGACAAGCACAGCAGCTGTCAGATCCCCAACTAGTAAATCTGAAATCCTTTTGTCCAAGCGGCGATCCATTTAAATATGTTGCATCCGAGGAATTTGCCACACATTGAAAAAACATGTGGCCCAGCCAGTCCAAGCCCGTGCACCAAAAAGTATACACAAATCAAACCAGTGGTTCTAAACTTGTCAGTTGGATCTAAAATGACTCTATTTTTTCCTTTCCACATTACGTAATTATTATGTAATATTTACATACTTTTGAACGTAATTGAACGTAATTGAACGCAATTCGAACGTAATTCGAACGTAATTCGAACGGTCTGATCGGGTTCGAACGGTTTTGAATGTAATTTTTATGCATATTAACGTGTTCGAACGGTCCCCGAACGGTCTCACCCAAAAGTCTCATTTCCTTGGATTCAGACAATGTTTGATCCGCTTTGGACTGGACTCGAGGATTTTGATTCCTCAAAGGTAGGCCACTCACATGTTTCACCAAATCCTATAAATATCAAGATGCAAAACACAAATTGACACCCAGATTCATCAGTTGCATGTGGCTGTCAAATAAACACCATGCGGTCTATATATGCACCGATAGAGGGCCATACCAGTTGAGGAACCATTGCATGGTCTAATTGCAGCACTCATGTGGACTCCCAGGCTAGAAGATGTTTTCCACCCGGGCTACTTCTCAGAAAACCTTAGGTTGCATATCCTTTTGATGCAGGATTTCAACGGCTCTAGGAAATGTTGCCTTCCAATCTGGAGGGACCTGAAGGTTCTTAGACCCTCTTAAGTAGCGTAGGACTGGCATGAGTCCAGCGTCACTCCAGTCAGACCAGCGCATTTGGCTGAACGCTTTGACTCCGTCCTCACGCGTGCCTTGAGGTTTTCCCTCTGGATGATGCAGCAGCTTTGGAAAGAGCTTGCAAATGGCATCAGCGAAGGCTGCCGGATACACCCTGGGCGGCGCATAGTGAGGTGGATCGACCCTTTACAGTAATGGGATACGGTTCAGTATCACATCGAAACCATGAACATGATTCAATTGTGTGACAGTAATCCAGCACTTCAATTTGGAACCTGGACATCGACCTCCAAACCAAATTGAGGCATTGACTGTGTTTGCTTGAGGTTAGATGTTCCAGCATAGGCCACCTCTCCACGCTTGTTGATATACTTCTTTACAGTCTTGAGCTTCTTTAGCTTTTGGAGATGTCTGGGGAAAACGCCAAGATCCAAGGCAGCGGAGTATGCATTGTTGCTGTACCCGCGACTCCGCTTCGCCGATTCTCCTCCATACATTCCCATCCACCAGCCGAAGGTGAACACCTGCAGGCAATCACAGCAGAAATGTTTTCATCAGCTAATTGGGTCCACGCTTTAATCATATATCATATATAAGGACATCTATACATGTTTAAGGACTAGGGCCCCAAAAACATAAAAACATATATATATATGACATCCTTGATGAGAGATTGATTTACAGGGCCGTGTGTAACGAGCATATATCTATCTATGTGCATGTAAAAGGGAGTCATGCAAGGAAACATCCAGAGCCTAAAGGCATATTTCTATGAATGACATGTTGCAGAACCATGCCAAAGGATACATATGGGGCCAAGCGTTTCCATGTCCTCACTGTTATGCCAAGACACCTTGCTGATACTTGCCCAGTATTGGAACCGATGATAATGCCTCATCAAGGAACTGCCAGGCTGCTCCAGGAGATAGGTGCCACCTCTGGCCACCACCAGCATGAAAAGCAGCACACACCTTGGGCGCAGTCATACACCCATAGGTTTGCATATATGTTTATATGTTTTCATTATCCTTCTTGCATGAGCTTCAATCTCATGCACACATACACTTCCCATGGACTATGTGGATCCAGTTTAGCCCAAACACCGCGCCACCATCTTGTTGCTGTTGACAATGTAATCTAGCTGGGTAGCGCCCTCTGGCAACAACAGGCTTCTCTTGCTAGTTCCACTGTTGATGTGGACCCAGCTGCTGCAGCAGGTTGCAAACAGGACTACGAAAGAATCTTCGCGGCAGTTCAATACTAGCCATATGGCCAACCTTGGCTGATCCTATATTCAGAACATGGTGGATATACAGGACACTGTTGAACTATATATCAAGATGCTGAGGCAAAACTGAACAATTATGTTCAATGATCATTGCACGTCCAGTTCAACATGCTGCAATGTACTCGTTTGTCATTGATTGAATTCACATATCTGGCTGCAGGGAAAACACGCTAGCCCAGAGTCGCTGTTGATATCCATTGCATGACCAACACCACTCAAATACTCCAAGTCCACAGCAACTGCCGTGTGCTCAGCCTTGACGGCTGTAAAGACCTCGCCTTTGCCGGCAAAGAACTCCAGGTAGCGGAGGTCCTGCAAGAAGCGTTTGGAAGCCAAGAATGGTTGCACGCGGTGATTTGGATTCTTATATTCGAGGTTGCAAACATAAAATAATATCTGAACTCAACACAGTGCAGAACAAGATACAAAACCACCAGTGCTATCCTACAGCCCAATTGACCTGGAAACCATTTATATGCCCAAGCCATGTTTGGATAGTGGTGCTATCGAGGTCTCATGAAAAGGAACGCATGTATGATGTTCTTTTCCATTCCTTTGCTATTTGTAATTTGGCTTAGACTTGAACCCCAAACCAAACTGGAATTTGATTTGACAAAGCCCAGTGCACTGGAAGCACAACACCTTTGATTCCCAGATGTGTCCTCCTGAAATTTTGGCAACCCAGCAAAGGCAGTCATAATCACAGCCCACACAAATGCCTTACATGAGCGTTGAGATGAGTGAAACACTTGGATCGTTGAAAATACGCCCGCACAGACCCATTTGCGAGCATATTTGTTTATATAATTTTTGGAATGAATTGGGTTACGATTGGCATGCATGCTGCGTATGACCCTGCTTGCTTTGCTTTCATTAAGAAGTACATTGGAGGAAAGGACTGCAGTGACTTCCCAAGTCCCAAAATGAAGTCATGTGCCTTGTTCTTGCATAGGCTCCAAATGGCTCCAAGGTGTTTCAACTGAATTGCAGTTGCCAAGTCACCTTTGGAGCGCCCAAGGTAATCAGATTGAGGACCAGCTGACCCATGTCTGGAACCCAGCACGGCATGTTTGGCGTGGTTGACCGACGATCGAGCACCAGGCCTTTCTTTGACCAAAAACAAAAGGCTACAGCGAGTGGCGATTGAACTTGCAGAGACCTCACTCAATCAAAGAATGTGGAATATGGTGTGTACATGAATGATGTTGCATCCATCCTATATACTGTATATATAGTTCTTTGTGTTTTTTTCTCCGTTTTTATGTTTGAAAGACTACATCGGAAGAACTTCGGGAAGAGCGTCTCTTGGAAGACTTTGCGCATGGTTGCAAAACATGTGCAATGAGTGATTTAAGAGATGTTGGTGCAAGGGTAGCTTGCATTCCCATCAAAAAGGAACCACGATGGTAAGTCTCCATAGTCTCTCAAATTCCTAAGCCCCTCTACCTGGAGCACCTCAACCTGAAGCATGCCAGTTCCACGATCCTTCAGCCTTTTGCGGACACCGACCTTCGACGCATTCTTCTGGAACCGAGGCATTGAAGTTGCACCTGGCCAGCACGCGCTTGGGCCCCAACATGGATGGCTGAGGGAAACCTGTGAAAATGATTTTGGTTGTCGTGTTCTGTCCATGAAATTAGTTATTTTGGTGAACCCTTTTTGGAAGCACCTCAACCCATCACTGTCCTTTGGGTCGATGAGACCCAGTGGAATGCCTTGGGATGCCATGATGGCATGCAGCATGACTTCTAGCACCAGAAAGGGAGTAAGACCAACCCGGAGATTACAGACAAGAGACCCGGTGATTACAAACCCAATTGCTTGGCATATCACAAAGGCCCTTGAGGCAATAAACTGCCCAGTCAAAAGGGGTTACTCTGTATGCTGCAACTGCCATGCATGAACCCCTTTTTTTGGTCCCCACGGTGTTCAGGGTAAGATGATCGCACTGCCACTTCCTTTCAAAGTGGCTACACGAAGTTCCAGCGTGCACTAAGGCACTAATGAACACCCAGCAGTACATTGCTCCAGATGCCCTGTTTCAACAGAAACAAGGTTTCACGACAAATGATTTCTACATCTCATCACTTTCAAAAGTTCACGTCGAGATTGCGCGTGAAAAGGTTCCAACAGCAAGAGCCCTGTGATCACCATGCATATCAATGGAGAGCAACATATAGGGGTCAAAAACAATGGTTGGTTTTATATAGTTGACATTAGATCCCTTCCAGGAGAACCCGTTTGAGGAATCCACAAGAGACTCTTGCTGCATGAGATCACAACCCAAAAAAAGCAAACTCCACCATCAAGTGAACCAGTGTTGTGGTAAACCATATATAGACACACTTTTGATGCAAAAGATTGTTCATGTAGCGATGAGACACAAGCGAATGATCCTGATGGCAAGCTTGCAACCCCTAAATTGCCAATGGTCTCACGGTGTCCTGCTTGTAGTCTCACTGTGTCCTGCTACTGCATGATCATGCGACGACTGCAGCAGCACTTTCAGGGACTTCATCTCATCAGTGAAGGGGTCGAGCTCCTTCTGCGCTTGCAAGGCCTCCACCTGGGCTCCAAAGCTGGGAAGGGCTGCAAGAATATATATATATATATATACTGGATTGGTTTTGGGGTATGTGTTTTGTCTTGAATGTATATATGTATAGATATAGGTCGATGAGCTTATGGAGAACAACTGTGAAGCGACAACAATCCAGGTGCCTGGTGTTAAACAAATTATTTTATATGACTGTATATGTCATTAGAGAATAAAAGGAAAACTATATATCTATGGTTTTTTAACTTCTTTGGATGAAGTGTGTGTTTCCCAAGTCCCTTTTCATGTATATATGCATCACCCCAGTCGAGACTTTGTATGTTATACATACAATGAAATTGGTTATAGTTTAACACTTCTCAAAAGTATATACACCGTTTAAATATGTTTGCATTTCGATTCACCATTGATCGCAGAAGTGTGACAGTGACTCTTTTACTTTAATTTGCATGAAACCATATTTTTTTTTATCGAGACATATAACTGTGCCCAACCCCTGGATGCATTCAAGTAGCAAACCGAGACGCCAACAGCATGTTGGTGTAGATGCAAGGGGTCTTGCCGCTGAAGTACCCCACCTGCTGCCACCCATTGCTAGCCTTTCGCTTGGACTTTTTGCCCCTGCAGCCCTTGCTTGCGCCACCCTCAAGAGATGCTTTGTTCACTTTGACACCTACAGCATTCCGGGTCCAGTAGATGACAACTTGGAAGACTTTCTTGTCATACTCTGTCATGGTCCATGACGGGTGTGTGCAACTGCTTTCCCAGCACGACTTCAAAGTCTCCGTGACATCTGCGGAAATCTTGGGACAAGGATCCACCTTTGCTGCCTTCTTGCCCCTCTTGGAGGAAGGCTTCTTGGTCGAAGGCTTCTTGGTGTTGGTGGAAGGCTTTTTCTGGGAACCTTTCTTACAGTTCTTCAGCCCTGTGCCCTTCTTTGTGCCCTTCTTTGGCACCTTTCCTTTAAAAGCCTTGGTGGATCCATCAGATTCCCGCTCCTTGCGAGTTCTCTTCTTTCCCTTCGCCTGGCATGGTTCTTTCTTCGGGGACGGTGTTGCTGCTTGCATAGTTCGCAACTTGGTCAGGCCGATGCACTTGACATGTTTTCTTACCTTCCCCATTTGTCTGGTCTCCACCACTGGACTTTCATTCCTAGGACAGTCGTATTCGTCCAGCTCTTCTGACACTTGCCCCTGCTCCTTCTCAGCTTCCTTCTCAACCTCCTCCTCCTTATTATCCACCTTCGGCTCATCAGCAAAAGCCTTGGCTTGCTTTCGCTTCCGGCTGCTCTTTTCCGTCTTGGTCTTCTGTTCTGAGTCTGCCTTCTTTTGCTTCTTTGCATCTTTCTTGGCTTCTGCTTCCTGTTTCTTCAGATCACGTGCTTTCTTTTTTTTCCTCCTTTGCTTTTTCTTTCTCAATCTTTTCCTGTTGCTTCTTTTCCTTCTTCTTCTGCTTTGCTTCCTTCTTGTTCTTCTTCATTCTAAATTGCATCCTGCGTGTGATCACATCATCACTCCCTGGTTGGCCCAAGAGACCTGCAACCTCGGAAGAAGCAGCACCTGCCTAGCAGGATGGAGTTGGAACAAAGGAAAGCCCATCGACAAGCTTTATATGCACTTTTTAAAGCTTGGCATGCATGAACACTATAGTGCCTGATTCAGGGTGCGGTGGGTATGCACAATAGCTAAGTTGGAATCAATTTCATTGTATTCCTGGTGTGAAACTCAAATTGTATGTGTCATCCCTCATGAGCGAAAACTCCCAGTTGTTTTGGCCCCTCGCCTCAGTTGCTGCGTGAGTTTCATGGACCAAAAGCTTTGCAAGGGTCTGGTGAGCAACATCACTGTTGATCAAGGACCCAGGGCTGCATGGCAGCTGTGTTTGGTCTGCGTCATGTCCAAAGGGCAGGGACTCCAACACCATTTGGGCACCTATAGAGGGCGGATGTTTCTCATCAGGAAGCAACACAGAAAGAACAAATACCATTTGATTTGATTATTCTTCACAATGAATGTCATTTGGCCGAATGAGGATGGAACAATTAAGCAGCATGTGACTCATATACATGTCCTTCCACACATATACACTCTTGTCTTTCACTCCATCCTGCCTTGACCCTTGATGTCAGGCTGCTCAGAGACAGCCAAAGGAGGACTGCTGGCTGCCGGTGTCGATGGTGGCGGTTCTAGAGAATCACAGGGTGCACATGATGGAACCCCCTGACTGGGAGGTGCAGGTGCTTGCCCTGAAGTCCCATCCAGTGCATTGTCCTCTTTCCTTATAGATGTGATGTGGGCGCAGACTAAAGCCACCAAGGATGATGTCAAAGGAAGACCCACTTATTCAATTAGCAAATCCCAACTACTGTAATTTGCCATCAAAACTGCAGTTCACAAACGCTACCAAAAAAACTTGTATATATAGACTAAAAGCCCCAACAAACAACCAGCTGTTTTATATATATACAAACAACAATTCAAAAGGTCGGTTTGCAAATGCCGATGCCCAGGGTCAGCTGAAGCGCCCGCAAAGCAGAAATTAGACAGTGAGGGTCGAAGGTGGTTGATCCATGTCCTTCTTCATCAACTTCCTCATCCGAAGAAACGCAGCAAATCTGATTCGCATCATCCTGATGAGGCAAAGCGGTTGCAGCAGGCAACAAGGGTTGCCTTCACAGTTGTTTTGCACAGCAAAGGTTTCAAAGGTTCTTTTTTCTATGGCCAATGTAAACTGCGCATACTTGTTTCATGGAAAG